TCCTTCAAAGACCCGAGTTTCATTGATAGGTTCTCCTTCAAATATCAGAGTTCGGGAAGTTCTCCTTCCAGTTCCATGGATAGGTTCTCCTTTAAGGATCAACTATTGGGCGGCTCTCCTTCAAAGACCCAAGTTTCATTGATAGGTTCTCCTTTGAAGACGAAAGTTCGGGAAGTTCTCCTTCCAAGACCGGTTGATAGCAACCATTTTGAAAAACGAGACGGTGTAAATGATCCGCTTGGCGCTGTCTGTACCGAGTCCAATAGGAACCACAAGCAGCTCGGTGTCTGGGTCCACAACTGGTGGCTGTGTCGGTGTCTCGGTATGAATTTGATGTGGAATCAGTTCACCTCTCATCCAGGTCTGAACTGTGATTCGACTGGTGTCAGATAAAGAAAACACATTCATACGTCGACTGAGTTGACGGAGTGATGCTCCGGATCGACCCGCCGGATCGCCGGACCGGACGTACCAATGGTACCCGCACTGCGTCCCCGCGGTTAACCCCCTTCCATTCACCTCACTGATCTCCTTGCCCAGCGTGGGCGCGACATAGGCAGACCTGGAGGCGAAACCCACCGACCGGCTAAGCGGGCACCGGGTCGGTATGCACCCGGTCAGTATGCCACCACTGACCGCGGAAGTCTTCGGAAGAGGTTGGGTTTCTGCTTTTCTGGGGTGCTCCCAGCAAGCTGGTAGCTAAATCTTCCATGCTGATGACTTGAGGAGTCCCTGCTGATTCTTTCTGCATGTGCTTGAGTATCAGGGTGTGTTTGATGGACGGTGCGGAGAAGCACACCTCAATTCCCACTGCGATCCTTAGACCAAACATGACAGAACCGTCCAGCTCTTTGAGAAGCTTGACCGGCCTGAAGTCAACACCAAGGTTTTGTTTTCGCGTTTTCCTGTGGATGTGGCAAGCAGCCGTCCATTCAATAAAAACAGGTCTGGGGCCACCTGTCCCACTTTCAACTGTTTCTTGCATTGCCCGAACACGTTCACCTGATCTCCGAATCTCCGATCGCAGGATTCGCTGGCCTCTTTGAGAAGATGAAGGCAGCTGTGGCAAGAACCACAAGGCAACGAGACCTGGCAGAGGGAGGAATGGGGATGTTCCGAGTGGTTCTGGCCTAGACTCCAACTGCCCCATGAGAAAAAGCTGTTTGGTGCTTTCCCAGATGTGCCCCCACCCTCTTGTTCGACCCTCACCGGTCGAACTGTGCCTTTGACTATTCTTCAAGTCCAAACCAAAGAGGGTTCAGACTGAATTCACTCAAAAGGGCCTCTCCGTGCGGCCCTCCTCGCTGTGTTTGGATGCTTCGGTCCGACACCCGCGGCCTCAGGACATCTCGCTTCGCCATGACCTGGCCGGCTCGGTCGGGACCGCGGGTCTCGGAGTGGACGCCAAACACGGAGCCTCCGTTCGGACTCTCGCCAAACACAGCCTGCCTGAGTGGTCAAGTCCTTTGTGGCTCGACTGTCCAAGCAGTTGGCAGACTGTCATGAAGTGGACGTCCAAGCGCCATGTACAAAGCCACAAGAACTTGTGCACAACCTACGCAACCTGTTTGAAGAGTCTTTTTGCTGCGTTGGGCACTCTTCAGTGGTATCCTGTGGAAAAGAATGCTTTTCACCCACTTGTCGAGTCCCTGTGTATTCTTTCAACTCGATTTGACAAAGATCTGATTGATGACCTGAGACCCATCTCACACCCAGAAGCCATGTGAAAAGTCCATGAGCACACAATCTGAAGTTCACAAAGCTCAGTGCTGCAGGTCACCAGGTCATGACCAAGTGGCCCAGAATCCGTGATGATCTAGGATATCGGCCATCGCTACTAGGGTGGAGGCCATTACTACTAGTAAGAAGAAGCTACTAGGGGCTCCTGGCCTTACTATATAACTTCTCACGCACTTGTTTCTCCATGCTGGTTGGGGGGTGCACATGGCCTTTTAGGCCAATACTAGGAGCAAGGACGCTACTAGTAGCACGCTACTAGGATCTCCTGGCATTACTACTAGTAACAAGAAGCTACCAGTCTCTTGCGCGGCATCCTGCGGCCCCAAATCGACCCGCTTCGGCTCATCGACCCTCTGCCCCCGGCGCCTCCTCGGGCGCGCGCCAGAAAGCGTGGACGATGTCGGGGCGTTTCGTCAGCGAAGCGCTGCACCAAATGCTGCACCAAAGTCGGTGATGAACCCCACGGAACGACTCGGCCTCTCAGCTACTGAGGAGTATGGGAAGGATTGTGACCCAGACGAAGTGCAGCATTCAATAGCATTCAGATGGGTGATATCAGAAACAAATATGGCTTCAATAAGCTTAGCAGCCACATCTGATGGCCTAGCATGGCTTGTTGATGAGGAAAACCACTGCCATACTGCCAAAGGGATCCAAGAAAACCAGAGAACTCATTCGCTCATTTGTAGACTCAAGAGCCATACCAAACATGTCATCTGATCTCTGCACGCTGCAGTCAGTCAGATCGTCTCACCGTCAAATGCTGTCGCAGCCTCAACACATTTTCGTCTGCAGGTATTGCTGACTGCTTGACAGTCGGCCATGAAAGCACCTTCCAAGAACACATCTTGTGTTCTAGGTCCCCTGGCATCTCGAGCAAATCATAGAACAAGTATCACATAGTATCACCAGAACTAACCTGTCTCGCCAGGGCACCTAGCAATCTTTTGAGCACCTACAGGTCTTTTATTAACATATCGCAAAGTCTTCCCTCCACACAAGGGCAAGTCGTTAGCGCCACAAAAGCTTGCGGCTCACCGCTCTTGGTTCGTGGTTTGCCATCCCAATTTTCAGGTCAATCGATTGATCCAGGGGGGGCCTGAGCGGTCTGAGCCGCCATGAAGAACGTCCCAGCCCAACAGCCACGTCCTAGCCCAACAGCTTCAGGATCCAATGCAGTGGCCCAATGGAGTGCTTTGTACATTAAAATCCCTTGGCCCACTCCATGCCTGAGGCAAGGATGCCAGGGGTCGTGATGGGAAACGACGTGGGCTTACAAGCTACAATCCATCTAAGGACTCTATTGGCACTGACAGGTTTCTCCAAGGAACCTTTATGTTGGCACCAGGTGCGTATTCAACAGGATTCCCACACGCAAGGGTTCCGGACACCCACACCACGACGGAAACTGCGACGAAAACCACGAAAACTGCAACGAAGAAAAAGGCGTTTCAAGTGACGGGAAAACTGCGTTTCGGGGGCCGTTTTGCCACCGCAGGCCTCTGCGTGAGTCGAGTCGACTGGACATGAAGGACAGGAGAGTGGCCAGCAAATCCTCTAGTTTATTGAGCGTCACTGAGCGTCAACATGTGTCAACCAGAGACGCTCTAAACATGTCCAGCAAGTTTACCTTCAAAACTGCTGAACTGGTACAGAGATGTACAGAGTATTAGCCATCAGCCCAAATTTGCGACTTCCCGTACTATCTGAACCGCTCTTGGCCTTTGCCAAAGGTGAAGCTCTCCGTACTCACCTGACACTTGCCGGCTGGCCAATTGGTCGGCGGTTTCTGAAACGAAGGGCGTTTGGGATTTGGGTGTATATTTCAATAGGAGACCCGCAAGCAATGGGGTTTGGTCTATGTCCCTTCTTCCAGTGGGCCTTTCGGAGTCTCCCTATTTTAATACACCCATTTGAGGAATCCCCCGTTTGTTTTTGTTCCCAGATTCTTCGGGTGTTGCGGCATGTTAATGGTCTTGTCGCCAGTCTTTGTGTTGTGGTTCTAAGGGCACCCACTCGAAAGGTGCAACCATAGCGACCATAGCCAGTGACCAAACACACCATGTTTGCTATGATGGAGGTTTGGGATGTGTTTGCTTTACAGGTCCTTCATAGTCATATTCATGCAAGTCTTGACCATTACTTGCCTCATGCGCTGGTTGCGCGTTTTTGAGGTTGCGCTCCTTGAGGGTGGCTCTGCACGATTGCAACCAGCAATCACCTCTGTGGCTTAAGGTACCTCTTGTTTGGTATACCCTGAGCGTCAAAGGTACCTTGCCATGGCAAGCCTTGGGTTGTGGCCTGACATTGTCACGCAATCTCAATTGCGTGTACTAATGCTTGCAATCATCGTGGTTCAAGCGCGTATCATAAAAGCGTGTTTTGTTCGGATCAGTTTCACCTGATACTCTCAAGAAGCTGTTTGTGGCTCTTCTTGCGGTAAAGAATAGATGATCACACCGTGAGTCGGGAAGAGTTGAAAAGACGTGAGATGACGTTTGTATACTTCACTTGGAATATGTGTAATAATATTGCACATTATCTATATTGATTAACTCCCTGCGAAGGTGCAAAATAGATTGGTGTCTGAATTTTGTCCACACTGCAATCCTTTGAGCTTTTGAGATGGAGCCGCGTTTGATCATTTTGGGGGGGAAAAGCACTCAGGAACGTGGTGAACTGCTTAGAGAAGACCTTCTCAAAGGGGGGGTTATGACTTGAGCGCATGATGGGGAAGAAACATCCCGATCAACCCTTGTACTACCTTGAGGATCCTTGAGGCCTCAACATGACATCCTCGAATCTCATCGGCTTTTTGGACACCCAAAAATCAACCCAAAAAAGCCGCTGTCAAACACATTCCCCCTTCATCTTCCCCAGCAGTCACGCCACAATGCTTCCGGTCCGTCCAAGTGACGTGGTCCATGAGTTCTCCATCTGGCTCCTCTGCAGGATGCCGGTTCCGCCGAAAAAGGGAGGACGAAAAAGTAGGTCCCGTTTTGGCGACCAAAAGATTGCAAAACACATAAAGGCCTCAATGAGTAAAGACCTAGAGACCATGATTGCCAAAGAGGAATCTTTGAGAAGGAGCAAATGAATCGCGTTGTTTTCTCGTGCCTTTCATCATGGTGCAGTCTCTCCGAACACTCTTATGCTTGAAGCGCCCCAGTCGCACAGTCGAGCAAAGGAGTGGCATACTGCAGAATTGGAGTCGACGACAATTTCAATACACTCCCTGGAACTAACATGGAAGAAGGGAATGGCGCCTTGGAAGACCATTTTCCACCACAAACAGGTGGTTTTCCACTTTACCTTTCCAGAAAATCCTGAGGAACATTGGCTACGGGGTGGCCATGTCAAATTGGCCACAGGCTACGGCACCTAACCCCTTCTTACCACCAAAATGTGTGTTGCGCCTGCCAAGGGCCACGCAATTTCCTCATGTAGTAAACCTCTCCTTCCTAGCACTTCGTGGGCCAATTAAGAGTAACTAAGCAACTTTTGGCTGATGTTGAGTAACTACGCGCTTTTGTTTTTCCAAAAGCGCTACCACTTCGATTTGTCAGTCCGAACGGCGGTGTTCCACCGACGGATTTGCGACTCTGGACATCGACTTCACGGAGAGACTCGGAGAGCGGTCTGGAGAGGCCCGAGACGGCCGAGACGGAAGGATGGAAAAGACATGAAAGGAATTCTGGGGCGAAGCTGAAGGCCCTCGGAACAGGAACTGTCGATCAAATCCCACATCATCCCATGCACCTTAGAAGCCTTTCATCCCTTGCGACCGTGCGACCGAAAAGAATATCCAGCCCCCGGGGCCTCCCAATTGCTCATCTGCACCTGCTGGCGCAACGAGGATCTAAGAACTGTGTCGCACCGGACAGGTCATGATGGGTTTGGACAGGTCGGCTAAGTAGCCACATGTCCACGTCTTGCAGCTAAGTATTCACAGGCCGGGCATTTA